AATGTTTTTATAAATAACAGTTTAATGTTATTATTTCAAGCTTATCAATTAACAATTTAAAGATCAATTGAGCATACAGAAGTATTAACATTAATTAGCATTTTAAAAACTTTCCAATAAGTCTCACTTCTCTTTTTTTTATATAATTCTCTGCAGTTTGTTAAATGAAGTATCCACCTGTTCTCATTTTAATGTGCCACTGTGTTTACCATCTAGACAGCAGTTTTTCCTGAAGGTACTTCAGAGAAATCATAGCATTGTTCAGTTCTGGTTATTTTTTTGTGTCCAAATGTGATCTGATCACTCTAATTATTCTTATCTAATTACCCGACTCTGACTTAATGCTGATTTTGTTCGAATATCTGGGAGGAGAGAGTTTGCAGAAGAGAAATGTGCATGACTTCTCACCGATGCAGCAGGAAAACATGAATATCCAAATTCTTCTGAATTAATTTTCTAACATGTCAAAAATAAGCCAACAGAAAGGTTTGAGGCAAAGGCTGCTCCTCTGGCGTTACTGGCTATAATGTCTAACTATGGACTCCCTGGGTGTCATGTTCATATTTTTTTTTTCTGCTACTTGCAAGAACTAGAGCAAGTAAAGTAAAGTAATCTTCCTCGGCACCCTCTTTTACACTCATTTTCCCTTTGCCTCCCCCTGTCTGGACATCCAATTCATATCGTGAACTTACAATTACTCGATGTCCAGCCACACGTTATCATCCTCTGATGTTTTTTGCATATATGATTGAAAACAAAATTTTAACTCTAAACTTTAAAACCACATTGATACATGTTCTTATTTTCTATGTTGTACATTAAAATGACATGTCTTTAATTCTATACTTCAGCGGTCCCCAACCTTTTTTGTGCCACGGACCGGTTTATGCTCGACAATATTTTCACGGACCGGCCTTTAAGGTGTCACGGATAAATACAACAAAATAAAACTAGTACCGGTACCGAAAAAAAGAAAATTTATTTATAACACACGTGAAAAGACCCAGGAAAACCGAGTTAACGATAAAAACAATAACAAAATAACGCTGAAAACCGATAAAAACCTTGAAAACCATACATTTCACACCTGAGCCTCAACTCTCGCGGCCCGGTACCAAACGACTCACGGACCGGTACCGAGGCCCGGGGGTTGGGGACCGCTGCTATACTTCACTTCATGGTTCACTCATTGTACTTTCACTTGAATTAGATTTCTCATCAGGTCATTCTCACATGACAATCCACATTCTTCAACATCAATCTCTATTTGATTTAAATATGGTTGTAATCTGACAAGAGTACAATCATCATAATCTAAATACTACATTGAGAGGGTGAGAACATGCATGAGCAAGTCAGGCGTAAAAGGGAACTATCTGAACCTGGGGCTGGACATGTGAAAATGGCAGTGACAGTGGTGAGCCTTGCAGTAGGAGTAACAGATGGGTTCTATTATAATTATAGCTACACAGTATCAATTACTACTAAGGTATTAGTTTATATCAGTGTCAGTTACACATTATGAATAATGAATTAATAATTTCTCAATGGGGTTGTACATAAGGTTATTTAGAAAGTGTTTAATGGTTGATTGTATCATTTAGAAAGTCTAAGTAACAAAGCATTTAAATGGACTCTAATAGAAAAACAAATTATAAAACGATTTGGTTGTTTGTGAGAGAACCGTATAAAGCATTTACAAATGAAACTAACAGATCAGCAGGACATCCACACTCAAAAAAGCCTCAGCTAACTTCACAAGAGAAAAACAAAAAGACAGAAAATGAAAATAATCCACTTAATGTTTGCAGAATGCTGAAATGTAAATTGGGATTGGAGTCGGAATTTGTCGGGGAGCCACTGATGAGAGAAAGAGCAAATGGAATCACAGGGTACTTATTTATTTATCAGAAAATTAAATATGTAAATCAAAAAGAGGACATTTCACAGAGCTAGACGAACCAACACTCCCAAATAAGTATTCAGTGTCCATTAAACTGTGCATGAAAATGTCTGAGATATTTAACTTTCCTCTGGTTTGTTTAGTTTCAAATAGTCCCTTAAAAGTCAAATAGTCGAATCTAATTCTAAAGCCAGTTAAGCTGCTTTTACTTAACGCTGAAAAGGCAAAATGACACATTTACTTCTTTGTGTAAAAACATCCGAGGTAAAATCAGACTGTATGTACTGTGAGTATATATACTCACTCACTTTTTATTATTATTTGTAAATATGTGTACAAATGGTTGGGGGGTTTTGTACTGTTTTTAACAATAAATCTCAGCAACAAAGGAAATACACCCATGTGTGTTGATTTCTCCCTAAGATGGCAAACTGAAACACAAGTTTCCTTGTGGCTCAGGAAACTAACCACTCCAAGTTGGTGACTTTTGGACAAACAAAGAGGCAGTTGGCAGTTAGAAATCAGCAATCATTCAAACACCCCCACTCCTCCACTTCTCAAGTAACAACCTAATTTACATATGAATTGATGCTAAAAGACTAGCCAATTTAGCTTCCACTTGGCTGACTTGGGTTAGAAAAGCCTGGGACTTCCAGTGTTAAATATGGTTGTAATCTGACAAGACTACAATCATCATAATCTAAATACTACGTTAAGAGGTTGAGAACAGAGGTGACAATCAGCATCTCTCCATGCTAAGAAAAACATTATCAATACAATGTTTTCCTTGAGAGTGTTGATGGAGAAGTATAGAGAAGGTCAGAAGGTGTTGCAATCTTCCTTTGTGTGTCTAAAGAAATCATATGATAGTGTCCCAAGACAAGAACTCTGTTATTGCATGAGCAAGTCAGGCGTGAAAGGGAACTAGCTGAGCCTGGGGCAGGACATGTGAAAATGGCAGTGACAGTGGTGAGGTGTCGAGTCTAATTGTGTGCATTCACAGCAATACAGAAATTACAATACAAATACAATAAAGATTTGGTAACATAACAGGTGATGAAAATTGCACCGAAAATAAATGTACAAGTAGAAAATAATATTTACATGGATAGCCGCATTTACTTATTGCTGAGAAGGCAAAATGAGAGTTTTCCTGCTCTGTGTAAAAACAGCAGAGGTAAAATCAGACTGGTGGGCAGAGTAACCCAGGATGCAAACATTAGAATCACACACCTGTCTCGTTCACTTAGCAGATTTGTGGTACCCAGAGCAACTGTAAAAAGTGTTCCTAGGCAAGACATAAGGAGAGCTACCATTATGGCTGTGATGGTGCGGAAAGCTTTCTGTTTTGACCGATTCATCTGCTGCCTGTCTCCTCCCATTTCCCCTGGCCCTGGACGAACGAGAACACAGAGAACAGAGAAGCTACAGAAAGACACTATAACTAAGGAGACCAGAATCATGCACAAATATTGAATATATGGAACAATGGGGTAATAGGAAGCTGCTAGACCAACGCACCCAAAGCTCAACAACCAGACACACCCAATGCAGATATTTCTGATCCTGACACCACCTGATTGTTTCAGCCCCAGATAGGTGATGGGGTGAACTACAGCCAAGTAACGCTCCACACATGTCACAATGTTAAAGAACATCTCTCCAGGGTAGGTGATAGTGATTGCAGACATACCCATGAAAACCGTCACAAAGTTATTAGAGCACCAGCCAAATATGCCAAGTGTGGTCCCCAATACAAATATTAGCTCAACTATGGTGACATTATAGGTAAATATGTCAGAGTGGCTCATTGCTGCAAAGGAACGCTGCTGCCGCTGCCATCGTTGGTAACCCAGGTACAAGACGATGATGGAGATTGGGAGGATGATAAACGTCTTGGTGACTGAGAAGGTGATGACAATATACATTGCACTTGAGCTATAGCAGTCAAAGGTAAACAAAGAAGTGTTGTCTGACATGCTTCTTGTAGCTCTGAGCTCAGCGTCTTCTGCCCTGAGAAATAAACAAGAAGTGAGGCCACAATACTTCAACAAAAATCCCATTCATGTCTTTCTTTGTGTTTA